GCGATGAAGCCATGTGGCGCAAGCTCGCTGAGGACAAGCGCAGGCACGACGACGTCCGCGTACGCGAGGCGCGCAGCCCAGGACTGAGCCTCACACGGAGCCGCGGCTCTCACAATAATATGTAAAGCACGATTTTATATTTTTACTCTCACAATCGATTACCCTTTAAATACCATGAAATATGCACTATGCACTTTGCAAGACATATTTGGATCGTATTTGAATTAAATGGCCCCCACTAATGGTGGTGGTGGAAAGAATAGCGTCACAAAGCCAACGAACGCTTCTCTCGAGTCGCTTGTTCGCACTCATGTATACATCATCCAGTGTATTCAAACCACGTCCTTGGAGCCTGGTGAATCTGTGCCGAGTTGTAGTTTGCCGTATGGGGCAGAGAGAGACTGCATAGAGTCCCAGCCACATCTTTGAACGACGCCGAATGGGACTTTGGAGACATAATCGTTACCCTCCCCCCATTCTCCGAGAGGGCCTTTGCCACAAGTGCCGGCTCGGGTCGATTTAACCCTCAATTCGCATCGCATTTACTAGCACTAATTTTTCCGCCCTTTTGCTCATTTTTCTACCGGTACTGGGCTCGGCTCATTATTATTTCCTTTGCGACTTGGAAACGTCGTTCATGCCGCGATTTGCGCCATGCCAGCGCAGAAATAACAGGTTGGAGGAACACTTCGCTCCTGCGATTTGTTAGCGTACCTCAAGAGTCTTTGACCACGACGAGATTGACGTTCTCAAGCCCGGTGTCGATGGCAGATATCATGGGTCTGCATGGGTCAATATTCAGATATCCACCAGGCGGTACGAAGAGACAACTAAGTCTACATACACTAAAACACGCATTCTTTTACAAAATGCTCCGAGCCATTCGCGTAGGATGGTCGCCAGGAGTCCAGTTGCCTACGCGCACGTGGCTGCTTGGTGTTTTAGATCACGCTTGCTCCATAAGCATCGCCTCGAGGCGCTGAACTATTTCGTCAAAGGACGGACGCTGTGCGGGATCAGGATGCCAACACGTCTCCATGAGCGTGAACAAGGCAGCGGGCCACTCGGATGTGCGGACAAAGACAGGGCGGTAG